GGGGGGCCCCCGGGGGGGGGGGGGCCCCCGGGGGCCCCCCGAGAGGGCAAAGCCTCGAGACAAAGACCCTCGCCACATGGGGCCCCCCCCCCCAAGCGGAAGCGGGGGGGCGGGAAGCACGGGCACAGCAGCAGCAGCAGCAGCGGGGGCGGCGGCGCGCACTTGCTGCAGCAGCAGCAGCAGCAGCAGCAGCAGCGGCGCAGCGTAGTCACCATGAGCAGCACAGAACTTGGCCGCAGAGGCAGAGACCGGCTGCTGCTGGACTATTCGCAGCACTTCGTCAACACTGGCGAAAGGCCGCAGAACTTCATTCGAGACGTGGAGCCGGAGAAGAGGTTCAACGCCTACTTCAGGTGGCCCTAGGGTTTAGGGTTTAGGGTTTAGGGTTTAGGGTTTAGGGTTTGGGGCTCGGCGCTTGCGGGTGGCGCTGGGGTGGGGGGCCCGACGCCAGTCTGTGGGTTGCGGGACGCGGGCTTGGTGGGGCGCCGCGGTTCAGGGTCTAGGGTCTAGGGTTTAGGGTTTAGGGTTTAGGGTTTAGGGTTTGTAGAGGCTTTAGTCTGCTGATGTCTTTTCAGGCTGAAGGAGCTCATGGAGCTGAAGAGGCAGGTCATCAGGGCGCGGGCCACCCCGGCGCAGTGCATCCGCGTCAGTTGAGGGTTTAGGGTTTAGGGTTTAGGGTTTAGGGTTTAGGGTTTAGGGTTTAGGGTTTGCGCTCGCGCAGCGGCGTGTAGTCCAGGGTTTAGAGCTGCCCCTGCGGTGCCTGTGGATTTGCGCCCTCGAGACCCGCGCGCTTCGCAGCGCGCCCCCCAGGGCCTGGCCCGAACGCCCAGGGTTTAGGGTTTAGGGTTTAGGGTTTAGGGTTTAGGGTTTAGGGTTTGCAGGCGGACCTGCGAACCTTCGACTGGAGCCTCCTGCCCTGCCTCTTCGACGTCATTCTCGTAGACCCTCCTTGGGCGGAATATGCAGAGAGGTGTGTGGGGGCGAAAAGGCCCTCCGAGGACTTGCGGCCCTGGTCGGTGCAGCAAATCATGGACGTACGCTGCTGCTGCTGCTGCTGCTGCTGCTGCTGCTGCTGCTGCTGCTGCTGCTGCTGTGGGGCCGCCGCTGTGGGGCTGCTGCGGTGGGCTGCTGCCTGCGTTGTTGCGGCCGGCGCCGCGCTGCTGGTGCTGCTGCTGTGGCTGTTGCTGCTGCTGCGCGACTGCTGCTGCTGCGCGACTGCTGCTGCTGCTGCTGCTGCTGCTGCAGTTTGTTGCTGTGTGCGTGTCCAGTGCTGCTGCAGCTGCCCATAGACAAAATTGCTGAGAGTCAGTCCTTTTGTTTTCTCTGGTGCGGCGTGAAGCATCTTGAAGAGGCGAGGGACGTGCTCTCCAAGGTGCAAGCCACTACCACTTAGGGTTTAGGGTTTAGGGTTTAGGGTTTAGGGTTTGTTGGGGCGTCTGTCTATCTGGCCCATGTCTTTGGCCCTACACCCCAGCTGTGGCTTTCTGCTTCGATCCCAAGGGCCCTCTCTATCCATTTTTTTCTTTTTTAATTTTAATTTAATTCTTTTTCTTCTTTTAATTGAGTCATGTCTCGTGTCAGTCTCTCTTTGTTTTCTCTTCCTGTGTCTTCTGCTGCTTTTTGACCTACCCTAACCCCTCTGCTGCTGCTGCTGCTGCTGCTGCTTCTGCTGCTGCGGCTACTACCTCTGCTGCTGCTGCACCCACTACTGCTGCTGCTCCTACTACCTCTGCAAGAGCTGCTGCTGAACCGCCGCTGCTGCTGCTGCTACAACCACCACTCTGCTGCCACAACCACTCCAGCCGCAACTACCCCTGCTGCTGCTGCTGCTGCTGCTGCTGCTGCTGCTGTGTCAGTGGGGCTTTCGCCGCTGCGAAGACATCTGTTGGGTCAAGACCAACAAGAGTTTGGCCCGCAGCAACCCCGCCTTCGAAGCTGCTGCTGCTCCTGCAGTTCTTCGCGACGAGTCTTCTTACCTCCACCGAACCACCGAGCACTGCCTCGTCGGCATCAAGGGCCTCGTCAGACGCGCCCAGGTCACACGCACACGCAACACCCAGGGGGCCCCAGGGGGCCCCAGGGGGCCCCTGGGGGCCCTAGGGGGCCCCAGGGGGCCCCGGGGGGCCCTAGGGGGACCCAGGGGGACCCAGGGGGACCCCAGGGGGCCCTAGGGGTGCCCCAGGGGGCCTCCGGGGGTCCGGTGGCCCCTGGGGTTCTAGGGGCCCCGGGGCCCCCCGGGGGCCAGGGGGCCCCAAGAGCTCCGGGGTCCCGGGGGCCCCAGGAGCCCCGGGGGCCCTAGAGGCTCCGGGGACCCCCGGGCCCCCGGGGCTCCTGGAGCCCCCGGGGCCCTAAGGGCTTTGGGGCCCCCGAGGCCCCCTGGGGCCCTAGGGGTTTGGGGGCCCCTGGGGCCCCCAAACCCCTAGGGCCCTCTGCAGGGGGGTTCTGGGGGGGTTATGGGGGAAGGGCAGGGCCACTAGGTGGGCGGGAGGGTGGTGGCTGCATCTAGGTGCAGCAGCAGCAGCTGGATCTTCAGCAGCAGCAGTTAGAGCTGCAGCAGCAGCAGTTAGAGCTGCAGCAGCAGCAGTTAGAGCTGCAGCAGCAGTTCCGCAGCAGGAGCGCGGCTGGCATCCAGCCTTGCCGTCCGTTCCAACCGCGTGTGTGTGCGCTGTCGCTCCCGCTGCCGCTTCTGCTGCTGCTACGCTGCTGCTGCTGCTGCTGCTGCTGCTGCTGCTGCGCTGCTGCTGCTGCTGCTGCGCTGCTGCTGCTGCTGCTGCTGCTGCTGCAGGACGGCCACCTGATTCACGCGAACCTGGACGCAGACGTGATAGTGTCTGAAGAGCCCGCGGACTTGTTCTCCACGGAGAAGCCCGCGGAGCTCTACGACATCATCGAGCGCTTTTGTCTTGGCCGCAGAAGACTGGAGCTTTTCGGGCTGCAGCGCAACGTGCGCGACGGCTGGCTCACCATTGGCGCTGCAGTCCGCGAGACTTGCTTCAACCCCCAGCTGTGCGCGCTCCCGCTGCTGCTGTTGCTGCTGCTGCTGCTGCGCTGCTGCTGCTGCTGCTGCGCGAGACACGCCCGCACGGCGGCGTTTTTGGACGCTTGGGGAGGCAGGCTGCGGGGGGGTTCTTGTGGGTTCGTGGCTGCTGCTGCTGCTTCTGCTGCTGAGGGGCTTGTTGTGGGCTGCCAGCTGCTGCTGCTGCGTGTTTCCTTCTGTGCTGCTGGCTGCTGTTGCTGCTGCTGTCTCATCGCAAGCTGCGAGCTGCTGCTGCTGCTGCTGCTGCTGCTGCGCGTCTCCCGTTGCAGCTACTCCTCGTGGTTCTCTGGAGACGTTTCTTACCCAGAGGCCCGCAGCTACCAGGGCGGGAGGCTGCTGGGCTCCACGGAGGAGATTGAGGCCCTCAGGCCAAAGTCTCCCCCGCGGGAGGTCAGGCCCCAGCAGCAGCAGCAGCAGCAGCAGCAGCAGCAGCAGCAACAGCAGCAGCAACAGTGAGGGCTCGAGAACAAGAGCAACAAAGCCACCAGTGCAAACAGTTGCTGCTGCTGCTCTGTCAAGCCGCGCTTGCCTCGTGCCTTCGAAGAGCCGCTACGCAAGGCCAGCTAGCTAGCTAGCTAGCTAGCTAGCTAGCTAACTAGCTAGCTAGCTGGTTTTGCTGGCTGGCGTTCCGCCAGCTTCTGACTTTCCCCTTCAACCCTATCTATAGTCGCTGCGACGTCTCAACAACAGCTAGTCACCCCTGTTGCGAGCTCTATGACAATCTAGCTAGCTAGCTAGCTGGCTAGCTAGCTAGCTAGCTAGCCAGCTTTGTTAGCCAGCGACCGTAGAAGTGGCCTAGCTTCTGAGGCTAAGTGCTGCACTGCGTGGCTAGCTGCTGCTGGCCCTTTGAGCCCGCGCCCTTTCTAAGCCAAGGAAGCCACTAGTCTATTTCCAGAGAGCAGCAGCTAGCCAGCTAGCTATCCAAATTCAAAAGTTCGCCCCAAAGATGGCAGTGCTGCCTGCCCCATACGCAGGCCTCACAGCGTCTAGGCGACGGGGGGCCCCAGCAGTCTGGGTGCCCTTCCTCTTATCTTCTGGGGGCCCCCTGGGGGCCCCTAAGGGGCCCCCACGGGGCCCCCTGAAGACTTGAAGAAGGGCAGCCAGGCGCGCTGTGGGGCCCCTCCGGCGGCCACCCACAAAGCGCCTGGGGGGCCCCTGCTGAGCTGTCCAAAAGCAGCTAGGGGCCCCCGCACGGGGCCTTTAGAGTAGGCTGGGGGCCCCTGGAAGCAAGCCCCAAATGGCTCTGGGGGCCCCCGCAGGGGCGCTGCGCGCGGGGCCCCCACGGCCAAAGTGGCCGCCAGGGGGCCCCGGGGGCTCCTGGGGGGCCCCCGGGGGCCCCTGCAGCCGCGGGGGGCCCCCCGGCAGCGAGCCAGCGGCCGCAGACTGCAAGAGGCCCGGCGGGAGGGGTGGGCGCAGCAAAAGGCCTGGACACTTAGCGAAAAGGAGACAAAGTTTTGCTGCAGTGTCTCCCCTTGTGAGGGGCCCCTTTGTGGCTGCTGCTGGGCTCCAAAGCAACAAGCTAAAGTGAGCAAAGTGGCAGCTAGCAGCTCGCTAGCTGCGCGGCGAGTTAGGCGGGAAGCTGCGCGCCAGCTCGCGGGCTAGCTAGCTAGCTAGCCAGCTAGCTAGCTAGCCAGGCAGCTAGCCAGGCAGCTAGCTAGCCGGGCCCGCGGAGCTAGCTGCGCAGCTGCCTAGGCCAACGCTGGTCGGCAACTTTTGACTTCCCTACGGGTCCCTTCGTGTCCCGGAAGGGACTCCCACGCGCTAAGCCCGTGCTGCAGCAGGTGCTGCAGCAGCTGCAGCAGCAGGTGCTGCAGGCGCTGCTGCAGCAGCTGGTGCTGCAGGTGCTGCTGCGGCTGCTGCTGCAGCGTGCGTTCTAGTGGTGCTGCTGCAGCGCTCCTAAGGACCCCTGTGGGGTCGCCCGCCTCTTTGGGCGGGGGCCCCCTGTACTCAAGGGGGCTCCAAATGGCGCAGCGGAGAGTGCTGCTGCTGCAGCAGCAGCAGGCGCCAGATGTGCTGCGCTGCTGCTGCTGCAGCAGCAGCAGGAGTGCGCGCTGCTGCTGCCCCGCGTGGCGGCCCTCGGCGTGGGCGGGCGCGGGGAGGCGCTGCTGGTCGCGGCGCTAGCGCTGGGGGTCCGCAGCGGCGGCGACCGCAGCTGCTGCTGCTGCTGCGAGCTGCTGCTGCTGCTGCTGCTGCTGCGCCACGGCGCGCGCTGCTGCGCCGCCCGCGTACTTCCTGCTGAGGTGCAGCGCGAACCCGAAGCAACCCATCACGTGGGCAATCTTCCAGAGTTCGGAGACAGTCGCAAAAGGCACTCTTGAAAACGCTATCTTGTGCTGCTCCAGCTGCTGCCCCCAGTGGCTCACATCTGAGTGGTACAGCTGCCGCAGCCGCCGCAGCAGCTGGTTTCTTCCTTCAGTTCCAAACGGCAATCGAAAGCCCTCATGCCACTTGACAGCTTCGTCTCCAGGAGGGGGTACGGAGAGGTCGGTTTCGCCTTCTTCGGGGTTCAGGGGGCCCCCGGGGGCCCCCGGGGTCGCCTGGGGGCCCCCGGGGGCCCCCAGGGGGGCCCCCCCCGGGGGGCCCCCAGGTGACCCCGGCGAGGGGGCCCCCCGGTACGAGGCCCGCAGCTGACTCGGACGCCGCCGCGCTCCTGCTGCGCTGCTGCGCGGCGGCGACAGCAGCGGCGGCTCTGCGCCTGCGGGCGCTGCTGCTGCTGCTGCTGCTGCAGCCTGCAGCGCAGCAGGCCCGCGCGCTGCTGCCAGCTCCAGCCCCTGCTGCGCAGCAGCAGCAGCAGCAGCAACGCCCCCCTGCTGCTGCTGCTGCTCCCACATGCGCCGCCGGCAGTTCCGCCGCCGTGGACGGCAAGAACCCGCAGGCACGCTCGGCGACGGGCTGCGCGCCTCCCCCTCCCCCTGCTGCTGCTGCTGCTGCTGCTGCTGCTGCTGCTGGTGCTTCAGCTGCTCCTGCTGCTGCACCTGAGCGCCCAGCGACATGCAGTCCAGGCGCTGCAGGGGCTGCTGCTGCTGCTGCTGCGGCGGCGGCCTAGCAGCGCCAACTGCTGCAGCTGCCGGCAGCGCCGACCGCAAAAAGGGCTCCTCAGGAGAAACCAGTTGCTGCTGCTGCTGCTGCTGCTGCTGCTGCTGCCCAAATGGACCAGCTGCTTCGTCGCACACAGGGTCTACGGGCTCAATCTGGCCAGCAAAATGGGAGGCCTGGGGCCCCTCGAGGCCCTCCTGGGCGCCGTCGAGGGCGCCGGGGGCCCCCCCAGGGGGCCCCCCAGGGGGGCCCCCCGGGGGCCCCCCGGGGGGCCCCAGGGACTTGAGCTTTTGAAACTTGCGGCACTGGACTTGGCGCCACTCTATGGCTGCGTAAAAGGCCCCAAGGGCCCCCCATCGGCCTGAAGAAAATCTTTTCTTGAATTGGTTCCCGCGGAAGTAGACAGAGGCGCACCACCGCTTTTGCTGGCGCTCCAGCTGAATTCCTGCACCAGCAGCAGCAGCAGCAGCAGCAGCAGCAGCAGAATGCGGCGGCGGCAGCGGTGCAGCAAGCAGCAGCGGGTGCAGCGGCTGAGCCGAGCCGCGGGATCAGCAGCAGGTGCGACACAACAGGGCGGGAACCAGCAGCGCGAAGCCGCCAACAAGTGCAGCAGCAGCAGCAGCAGCAGCAGCAGCAGCAGCAGCAGCAGCAGCAGCAGCAGCAGCA